CAGAGCAAGTGGCTGGACTTGATGGCCTTGGAGGCTCCTTCCAGCTCTGTGACTGCCCTACTCTACTCTGCACAGGGATATCTTAAGCATTGTAATGCGGGGGGGGGGGGGTTTTTCAAAGCTTTTTAAACCTCTGGCTCTTGGCCTCCAAGATAAACTGTCACAGGAAATCTGACACACGTCTTCAGCTCCCATGCATTCTGGTTGCGAGCTTCAATTTTCCTTTAGCCTGTGGCACAGGGAAGCCACAGAAAGGTCGGCATGTGGTTTACTTGATGGACAAACGCGAAGTTCTGTGGAGATGGAAAATGTACAGAAATGAAAGCCGTCAGTGTGCCGTGTGTCTGTATATGTAGTGTGTCTGTGTGTTGACAGGGAGTTCCTTAGCATGCAAAATAATTCCGGTGTGGTCAGTGATGAGGGGTTTTTGCCAGCACTATGTTTAGCCTTGAAGCAAAGAGGGGAAAAATGCTGTCTATTTACTGTTGCACATTCCTTTTCGGAAGGGCGGTTTTGAAATGTCCCTTGAGTGTCATCATGCCTTAATGCAATTTGCACGGCTTATAGCTTAATGGTGTAAAAGCAGGATCCAGCATGTCAAAGCCTTATTTCAAGTTCTCTATTTTACCGATCCTTTCAAAGTTGTGCTGTAGTCCAGCGACGCTTGCCTTATTTTCAGGAGTCGTGGATAATTGAAAGCTGAAGTCATGTGGGTAGGACTGGGGTGCATTTATCCTGGATTTTCTGGTTTGTTTCTGTTTCTCTCCCCTCCTGTTTTTATATATTGCCACCTCAGCCTTAGAAATGTTAGCCACCCAGTTCTTACCAGCTTTTAAGTCGCTGGCCCCTCAGTGCCGTGGGGTTTGCTGCAGGAACAAGAGTATTTGTGGGTGGGGGTGCCAAGTTTTGTGTGGCTAACGTACTTTCCTTCTTGCCTGGCTTTGTACTCATGGTCTTAATCGTCATGTGCCTCAGTTTCCCCATTGTGTTATTGTTTGGTGGCTGGGGGGGGGGATTCAAAATAGGGCTATGTAGCTTCAGCTCCCACTGGAAGACCCCCTGGCCTAGTTGTTGGCCGGAAGAATATTTCTTCAACGGGCACTTCAGCTGGGGATCCAACTTTGCCTTCCTCCATCGGGGAGGTTTCTGAGTGGGCAATTTTTTTGCCTGCCGTTTGCTTTTCTTTCGGGAAATGGGATCAGTGTGCAGGGAAATCCCCCCATGCTCTCAAGGTGAAGGAGAAAACACATCCTCAGCCAAGTCCCCGGGGTCCAGATAGGCTCACAGGCCGGAGGTTCCCCATCCCGGCCGGAGAGGATTGTGCTGTCACCGGGCAGGTTGAAGCAGGTGGATCCTTAGAATAGGATCCATTTTGCCATGGGCTTGCCTTTCCGCCTCAAGTGTCACACACCTGTTTGCATGCAGCTTGGGTGGGAATGGATCTGTGGCTCTTAAACCAGGGTGGTGGCAGAAAAGTGAGTTTTGGGGTGGATCACGGGGTGTGGAGAAAACTCGTAGGTGAGATGAACAAGAGGGTGTGACCGTGTTGTGAGGAAAGCTATTATTGGGAGTTTCTGTCTCTGGTGTTGCTGGAAGGCATGGTGGCGCTCTCACAAAGAGGACCTTAAAGCAAAGGGCTAGACAAAATTGCAACAACCCTGGATCGGAGAAGTCCATATAGCTTTCCTTGTGGGTCGCATACCGAGCGGCGGAGCCTTTGGAGTTCCCATGTTTGCTTGTAAAATGCAGTTAGAGGAAGGGCTGAGAAGGGGCTTCCATACCGAGCGTATCATCAGACAGCGGGGAACCGTAAGAACGTAAGGAGGGCCTGCTGGATCGGACCAAGAGACCTTCTCCTCGAACATCCTCCTCATGGAGTGGCCATCCAACTGCCCATGTGAAACCTTGTAGCAGAGTGTGAGTACAACAGCACCCTCTCACCCATGCTCCCCAGCAGTGGGTGGACAAGAGGAGCAGGGCCTCAGAAGCACATCCCTGTTATCTTTACGGATTCTTGGAGAAGAGGCACTGGAGTGCTCTCTCCGGTGTAGACTGGCCAGGCCCTTTGTTCATTCTCCTTGCATTTCTCCGCTTTTATGCCAGAATCCAGTGGATTAGATAGAAGTAAGCCACACGGAGATCAACCGGACGTACTCCTAGATCACTGCACGTAAACGGTCACCCAACCTTTTTGGACTTGTGGGTGTGTCTGAAATCTGGAGGAGAGTGTTGTGGGCACCACCACAAAATGGCGCTGGCGGCTGGGCATGGCCAGTTGCAAAATGGCTTCTGTAGGAGTGCAGCCAATCACAAAGCAACAGAGAGGGGCAGTCTTAATTCATTGGGTTATCTGACTCGGCATACTCAGTTTCCCCCCCAAAATGTCCAGTTGCAGTCCATTTCTTCCCAGTAAATCTTGTACATTAAGGATGTCATTCAAACCCGCTTCCCTGGGAGAAAGCCCAGTGAACACAGTGGGATTTATATCTGAGTGGACCTGCTTTGGGTGGTCCCATGAGTGCCTCTCTCTGTTGGCAGAAAGGTGAGGCACACTGAATAAAAGCCAAGCCAGAAACAAGGAGGCACCAAGCCAGGTGACCCCAAAATCCTAGACGTACTGACTATTTTCTACCAGCCCACTCGACATATCAGACGCAAACTCTTCCCTCAGGGCTGAAATACTGGATTGCCTATTAGCAATGTACAATTATACTAAATTTAATTAATTAATTAAAAGCTTTTATATCCTGTCCCGTGCAAGAACATCTCGTGATGGCATACAATCAATCAATCAATCAATCAATAGAACAGCCCCACCACGTCTGACCATGATATACTAAAACCCCAATTAAAATAAATTAAACATTAAAATAGCAGGAAAATAAAAAGGGTTTTGCCTGACGCCGAAAAGAATATAACGTCAGTGCCAGGCGAACCTCTCTGGGGAGCGTATTCCATAACTGCATATTATAATCTACAATAAGCAGCACAAATGAATTTTCACCGGGACACAGTGAAAGGGTGCTGTTGATTTAATTCAAGGGCCGAATTCGTGGTACCCTTTTGTTGCATTTCAGTGAGAAGTCTTAGTTTAGTGGGTGCTGGGGTGTATTATATTTGAGGTGTTTCTAAAGACATTCTCAAATGGTGTTTCTTTATGGGTTTCACTTGGGCATTTCTTTGTACAGCAAGTTCAGAAAGAGTTTGTGCTCAGAGGAAGTTAATTGGACCTTGGTATTTTGTGTGTGCATGTGTGTGCGCATGCCCCATGTACTTTGGGTGTATGTTACTTGGCCCCGAGGGATGGGAGTCCTTCTCCAGAATGTAGAGCAGCCTGGCCTAAAATAAACAACCACTTTTGTGATTTTTGTGACGTTGGGAGAATACAATAATATTATTCCTAGTCGCGCATAATGCACTGAAACAGCCCCAAGCCCTTGTGACTGTGTGAGAAGAAATTTGCTACACAGCACTTAATTTTAAATTTCTCAATGGAAAAACTGGAATATCTTTATCAGTCTTTGCAGTGGGGTCGAATGAGGATTGGCTGACAGTATTTCATTGAAAGCTGCTCCAGGCCATACCAGGTTAAGGGTGGTATATATTCATTTATATATATTTATATCCCACTGTTTTTCCTTCCAAGGAATTCAACCCAGCTTACGCCATTCTCCTCCTCTCAGTCTTATCTTCACAACAACCCTGTGAGGTAGGCTAGAGGCTGTGACTGGCCCCAAGTCACCCAATGAGCTCCATGGCTGAGTGGGGACTAGAACCCAGATCTCCTGAGTCCCAGTCTTGCGCCCTTAACCACGACACCACACTGGCGCTTACGTAACTGGGGATGAGTAGAACATTAGTCTTCGTCAGATGCTTTATGGCTCCTTGTTGGCACTGGATTTTGCACAGGTCTGTTCCTGAACAAATTCCTGAAAATTTACTTACCTCCTCCAAAGATACAAATCCCCATTTCTTAGTCTGTGGCGGAAACGCACCTGTTTGGTGTGTGCTTTTTCAGTTTTGCATCTTTTTCCACTATTGCATTTGTGCAAGTTCTGCAGGGAGGGTGGTTTGCACTCTGTGGAATTCATGCGACTGGGAGAAGCCATAAGTTGTGGAATCCATGGGTCAAGTTCTAAGCTCCCATTGCGGATTTCACTGAACCGGCAGGTGGAGCAGCTTCCTTAGTCAAGGTGGCCATGTCTGAGTTGCCATACAAAATATGCAACTGGAGGACACCTTCCCAATAGAGAAGTCTGCAAATTGAGGACTGTCCCAGCACACATGGCCACCGCAAAGGTGCTTCTCTACCCAGCTCCTTGACTTACTGGAAGGATGGGCGTTGGAGCCCAAGCTATTTGAGGGCTCCTGGTTGGGGAAGCCTGTGGGTTGCCAGAAAGCTGGAGCCAGAAAAGAGGGATGATCATTACTAAGTGAGGACACTGAAGATGCATCTGAGCCATCCAAAGGGTGGCCACTTTTGTCTGTTGTCTTTAGGGTTTGACTGCATTTTGATCAAGTTTCGTAACTTCAAATTTTGCACATCAGCTCAAATGGATGCACATTAAGAAGGTGGACATTGAAGTAATAAATAAGGTGCTTTCACTTATTTAGTCTCTGGTGCAGAATGTCTCGATGTGTGTGCTGTCCTTCCAAGCTTCTAGTCCTCATGTTTCTGCTGACATCTCTGTGGAAGCAAGCCGCTCCCCATGTCTATCTGACCTAGGGAATGTGTGCCCTGTCTGGAATCAGCTCTGTCAGTGGGAAATGTCTGTATCCATCTCCTTTCTTCTCCACTGCCTGCCAAAAACAGGGTGATTAGGCATGTGAAAGGAGCAAAGAGGCTTTTTGCTCAGCCATGATTCCCTCCCTCCTGCCTTTGGTGCATTTTTCTCTCTCTGTTATACTCCTCCTCTCTGCTTATCTATAGCTTTTCTATCACCACCTGGTGCCTCCCAGAATGAAAAATCCAAACAGAAAAGCCACTCTCTCTCCCACAGCACCCCCGAATGATGAGGTATGCAAGTCTTCAAAGAGATGCGCCCAGCGAAAGAATGCAAGCCGAGTCAGACTCTGAAGAGAGGAGCAACACGGTGTGTATACGACCCGAATCTCTGTAGTTTGTTCTGAGACCATCTTTTGAATTCCTCCTTTCCAGGGCAGGCACCTGGCGTGATGGGGCAGTCGCTCGGATCCCAGCGCTCTGGTTGGTCCCTCCTTGTTTGTTTTGTGGTCTTGCACTCAGAGCAGTGTCCTATGATTTCCCATAATGCTCCTGGCCTACTGTTGCTGTGGGGCATTCTGGGACATTTAAATAGCAGCCACCCCGGCTGCCCAGTGCTGTGGAAACACTGGCACTGTAGCTTTCATGAGCTTGCCAGGACTCACTGAACTCCCACCAGAGACCTCTCCCAGTCTGCCCATGCAGATTGGGAGTCATCAAGAAATTTCCCGATTATGCACAATCTTTTCACACACAAAACTGTCCCTCTTTATCAGAAAGTCTTGTCACACTTGCATGGAATGATAATCCAGGGTTTTGGAAGGTTTTGGCTTCTCATGAACAAACAAACACATTGGGAAAGATTTCTTTAGCACGTTGTCTGAGCTGGTGATTCTAGCATCTTAGTTGCTGGCAAATACTAGCCAAGATGTTGATCATTCCGTGCGAATATGGCCAGTTCCTGTTTTTGGCTAGGCATTGCTGATAACGTAGTATATGATCTTCCTGCCTGCCTTTTGTGGTAATTGCTAGGGGGGAGTTCCCAGCTGCCCCTTCTTGGTCCAGGTTCTTTCCCAGAGTCTAGAAAATAAATCTCAGGGAAGGAAGTGGAGAAGTTGTGTCTCATTTTCTTGCATTTGTCATGACTTTCAAAGCATGGAGCAGTGGCAACGGATGTGCAGAGCTGCTATTGTCGACTTTGAACAACGGATTACCTGGTTCCCATATATCCTATCTATTGATTGCATTCTCCAGTTGATCAGCTGGTGGCCAAAATCGGTGCCCAAGAGTTGGTCTTAGCAGGCTTGGGGGAACCCCAAAGTGTTCACCAACAGGCATGCGGAGAAAAGTTGTGTAGAGGGAAATCGGATACTTTGATACATGTGGGGGAGCATATGAAGTGTCTGCATGAAAACTCGGTGTCTGGGGAGGGAGAAAAGGGGTTGGCGTGGAGCGTCCTTGGCGGGGACGTGGCTCACTGGCTGGAATCGTGAACGGCCACCTTTTGTTGAGATCCCATGTGCCATTAGCTGAAACAGATGAAGAACCTCTTCCAGTCCAGGTGCCAGTTTCTGTTTTGGGGGAGCCCTTGGGGGCTGCCTCCCAGAGGTGGGTGGGATGCAAGACACTAGAGACGAGGGCCCAATCAGCAAGAAGACTGGCAGACATGGAGTTCTTCCTGCCGGTATTGTAAGTCCTTAGGGTGGCATTTTTACCTTGCAGAATGGGGGGAAATGTCTGGGCAAAAGCCAGGAGACCAGCCAATGGTGGATGGTTAGGGGGACTGTGTGTGTGTGTGTGTCTCCTGGGGGGCTCCGTGGGCTGGATTTGGCCCAGTGGCCCCCGGTTCTGCACTCCTGAGCTTAAGGATCCTGCCTTGGAAGCTTGGAGGAGGACATACGATCATAGAGGAAATGGACGCTGCACACGGCCGGCCGGTCAGCCGGTCGCCTGGTCAGTTTTTGGCAGGACCTGGGTGGGGCCCAGGCAACGATCCTCAGGAGGAGGTTTAGGCCGCTGCATGTGCCGCCCCTGTTTTTGCCTCTGGAACGCTGCAGGAGGAGTGCCGTCGTTGTTTGGTAACAATCCTCTTTGCAGCTTTTGATGGGGAGCTCCCCCCTTCCCGCGTGTGTGTCTGGCCCTGGGAGCCCTCTGGAGCTCGGAGGCCCCTTCGAAAAGCGAGTCAGTGAAGCGAAGCCCAGGAGGGACGGATCCCTGGGTTTCTCTTGCGCGTCCCTCCTCCTCCTCCTCCACATTGTGTGCCACGAGGAAGGGCTGCCGGCCATCCAGAGGCTGTGTGAGGGCATTATTTCAAGCCCTCCTGCACCGTGGCGGCTTGTGAAAGGCCTTCCTGTTTGAGGGCTGCCAGCCCTGCACTTTTGGAGAGCTGCCTGCAGGCTCCAGCCAGTACCAGGACTTGCTCCGCAATGCTTGGTTTGCATTGCCGATTGGCTCTGAGTCTCTCTCTGTTGTGCTTCCACGCCCCATTGCTGCTCTGTTGAGGACAGATGCCTGTAAATAGCAGGATTGTTGACTTGGTAAACAAGTGGCAGTGGATACAGGTGTGTGTGTGTGTGTGTGTGTGAATTGTGTGCCTCCATCTCTGTGTGTCTCTGAGAACTTCTGTACACAAGGCACGTATTGTGCACTGACCATTCCTAACTGACAGTTCTTTGTGCTTTTCCCCCCAAGATTACATCAAAACCCCCTAGTTTAGCTTCTGTTTCTAAATGGTGCTTTTTCAAAAGAGCAGGGAAGATATGGTATTTGTGAAAGCAAAAGAAAATAATTTTCCGCTTGTGAAATTGATCATCTTGGGATGCTCTGCAGTGCCACCTAGGGGAAATAGAGTGGAAAGGCAGGAAAGGCAATACTTTCCCTGTAAACCTCCGATCTCAGCTCTGCAATGGAACTGAAGGTAGGCACAGCTTATTAACAGCCTTGTGTTAATAAGCAATCTCTCTGTGCTTCTTTATGTACAAATTCACATACACACACTTTCTCAACCTGGTGCCTTCCGCAGGTTTTCAACTGCAGAGCTTATCCCCAGCAGCCAAGGTGGCTATTGTGGATGATAGGAATTGTATCCTAACGATCTGGAGGGCGTCAGGTTGGAAAAGGCTGATACCGAATAAAGAACTATGGACTGTGGGTGATACTTAGTGATGGATATTTCTCTCCCTCAGATGCAGGTATGTCCCTTTCTGTTTCCACCCAGCCCTCTCTGCAGGACACACCTAATTCTAAGCACCTCCCCATAATCAGACCAATTCCAAACAGAATTTCTGCAAGAGAAGTGGGACCTGGAAAAAGCCACTGCAGTGTGGAGGGATTCTGTCCGTCAAGTCAGCCAGCCATACCCTCTGACCCAGTACTCCATTTTATCCCCGCTCCCACTGGTTTCCTCCTCAACATGCACTTGGCATTTCACAGCCACTAAATGTAAACTATCAGTGAGTTCTTCTGAAGTCTTCAGCCCTTTAATGCTTTTGGATTTCCCCTGCTTTTGGAGTTCCCCTGAGTATGATGATTCTCCCGTCCTCCTCTTCCTTTCGGCGGCCCCATCTTGGCCACAGCTCCGTCTGCACACAGCAAGTGAGAGATAAGCTATTGTTCAAGCCACATTTGGGGTGCTGTGTACAATCCAGACTGTCCTGTCTCAGAAGCAAGCCGAGCCAAACTAACCACAGGGCACCCTAAGCCTGGAAAGGGAAAGAAAAGTCGGGATGATACAAGGGGTTGCAGTGTTGTGCTGTAGCATGACCGGGAGAAATCGATGCTTTTTCATGCAGAAGGCAAACCAAATGTCGTTTTAGGTGTTCCATAAAGCAGGGTGTGGACTTGCACTGAATTGGTTCATTGACAGTCTGGGGAGGGAATAGCCAGTTTCATGCCAAAGAACATAGGAAAGGAGTGTGTGTGTGTGTTTGTGTGTGTGTGTTTTGCTGCTTGCCGAGATGGTAAGCCAGCTGCCATTACATGGGTTCTCTGTTACGTAGCCAGGCAAAACTCGGGAGTGTTTATTTTGTGACCTGGGGTGGCGTCTGGGGAGCAAAATGGCTCACTTTATATTATTTCTGAATCTGCAAGGGACAGTTTAAGATGGGGTGCACAGCCTCAGGCAGGGGGACCAAATTAATCCCCCTATCTGTGCCTCCGCCCACTTACTCTGGCAAATTGTGCTGTTTCCCCCCTGTTCTAAAAGACTAAAATGTCTCTTCTAAGACTTGTTGCTCGCAGGAAAAGCTTTAAGCTAAAACAGGCTGGTGTTTTTCCCAGTCCCCCATACCCTGTTTGCACCCCTGTCCATCAATGAAATCTTGCACCCCTTTTCTGAACTGAAATTTTGCAACTTCTGCTTTGGGAGTTGTAAAGTCCCAAATATCTGGCTGACTAGTTCAACTTCTGGTGGCCACAGTGTGGCCAATGAGATTGTATTGGAAAGCTCCTAAACTGGGTGCCAATAACCCTTTCCTTCCCTCATGCACAGCTGGTGTTCTGGGGTAGACTGCATCTCCTGTGGAGGTTCCATGACTGTCATCGTTAAAAGCTGTGGATAAATGTTTCCCACACGAGACTGTCTAACTGTCTCTTTGAACTGCCTAATCCTACAGCTCTTGCTGCCCCTTGCAGCAGTGAATATATTGCATTTAATTTATTTATGTGTCGCATGTCTGTATCTCCTCACAGCTGCCGCCTTCCTGGCATTTTGCAACCATTACAGCCGTAAAATGCAATATCATAGAATACAGTATGAAAGTTTAACCTACAGTATAAAACGTACAATACAAACCAAGAGGAAAACTAGCAACAGTGCATAGATTTAAAATATGGGAATAGATTTAGAAGAAAAGAAATGGAAAGATGAAAATGCTTGGGAGGAGAAGAAGTTTTCTCCTGGTACTTCTAAGAACACTGGCAAAGCTCTCCGGGGGAAGTTCACTCCAGAATCGGAGGGCCACAACAGAAAAAGCCCTCTAAATGTATGTTAACGTAAAGCAAAAGACTCTGCTTGTGTAAAGTCATTTCTTTTCTCTGTCCTATGTTTCTTTTGGTTTGAACTTTCTGTTGGCGATGCCAGTGTTGGGAGTCAATAAGATTGCGCCCACGAGATTCTGTGATTCTCTTGGTGAGCAATTTCATGGGGAGATACAGATTTCTAGAATTCTGGATAAAGGGAGAAAACTTTCTTGATATGCACCTTCTCCAGCAGCATTCCTAATCTTGGAAACCTCAATCAAGTCTTAATTTACTCCCCACCCAAAAAATTTCCTGCTAACCCCTCCCACAAGTTGCTACAACAATTTCCTGGCTTCGGCTTCCCTTTGCTTCATTCTTTTCCTGCTCTGACATATCCCCACTTCTGGAACA